ATACTCCGCGTACTAAAGTTGTACTACAAAGTCGCCAGTTCTCATCTCCCAGCTCCCCAGATACTCCGCGTACTAAAGTTGCACTACAAAGTCGCCAGTTCTCAGCTTCCAGCTCCACAGATTACTCCGCGTACTAAAGTTGTACTACAAAGTCGCCAGTTCTCAGCTTCCAGCTCCCCAGATACTCCGCGTACTAAAGTTGTACTACAAAGTCGCCAGTGCTCAGCTTCCAGCTCCACAGATTGCTCCTACTAAAGTTGTACTATAAAGTCGCCAGTTCTCATCTTCCAGCTCCCCAGATACTCCGCGTACTAAAGTTGCACTACAAAGTCGCCAGTTCTCATCTTCCAGCTCCGCAGATACTCCGCGTACTCAAGTTGTACTACCAAGTCGCCAGTTCTCATTTCGCACACTCGACACGCACGATCTCCGCAGAGGGTTGCGCGCGCAGCCGGCAAATCGCACTCTCGCCTGCATTTCGCGCACTCGACACGCACGATCTCCGCAGAGGGTTGCGCGCACAGCCGGCAAATCGCACTCTCACCTGCATTTCGCGCACTCGACACGCACGATCTCCGCAGAGGGCTGCGCGCACACCGGACAAATCGCACTCTCGCCTGCATTTCGCGCACTCGACACGCACGATCTCCGCAGAGGGTTGCACTTTCGGTTGACGCTGTTCGTCCCGCACTCCGCCTTTAAGAGAGAATTTTTAAAGTGGGGAAATGTTTTTTCATTAGGACATCTCCCGTGCTAGTTTTCCATACTCACACTTGCCTAGTCATTGCATGCTTGCATAGTCATTGCATGCTTGCATACTCACCCTTGCATATCATGCTTGCATACTTACACTTGCATACTTTGACACTGGCATACTTCGCACTTCGATGCTTTCGCTCTTCCAGTGTGTGTGTGTGTGTCAGTGTGAGTGTCGAAGTGTAAGTGTCGAAGTGTCAGTGTTCAAAGGATTTTCCGGAAGAACCCTTCGCAATGCTTTCGGGAAAAAGCCTAATGTCACTGGGTACGCAGTGAGCTGCTAAGTCCTGTGCTGATATTCTTGGATGGTCTAGCAAAGCACCTTCTTCCCTCCGACCAAAGCACCTGGTTTTTTGGCACCAGGCGAGCACGCGTGCTTCGCGGGGTTCAAGTCCATGATGCAGCATACTGACCGGTGTCGAGGATCCTCTGCAAGCGGTCAGGCAAACGAATGATTTTGGGGTGACCTGGGCCCTGGGCTTCTCTGGCATCGTCTCATCCGGCTGGATTGGAGACCCACCTCTCTCCCAAAACGTGAACATGTGGTTGAGAAAGATGTCCCAGATGTCCAGGAGCTTTGAGGGCAGGGTTGTGGTGGCGACCTGGGCATGCACACCTCCTTACTCCCTGAAATGATCATGGTCACGTGGACGTAATCTTGGATGACCCTTTTTCCACAAACCCGTAAGAAATAGTAATTCCAAGTGTAGGTTGAGTGATGTTGAGTTCTTCGATATTTGGACCGATCCACGGATCCATCGAATAGATGCCGGATGCTGAACAGGATGTTCAGCATTTGTGTTTGCTGTTTCTCCAAATCGACATCTCATTCATGGTTCCAACGCGTAAGTAGCCACAAAGCATCATAAAGCCATGCTTGATTGCTTCATTTGTTAAGGTTGACGCGGGTGTTGTTGGAGGCTTGCATATCATGCTAGTATCATTCTTACAAAATCTGGAAGTACTCGAAGGTTGACTGCACATGTGGTTCCGTTACATCGGGCGAGAATTATATAACAGCTTGGACCCGGCTGGTACACATCCAATGCTCTAAAAGGTCCTATTCAGGTCATCTAAAGACCATGCTATTCATAGTGACTGTGACATAGTCTTCTACTCCAGGGATTTCGTGGGCTGTTGTTGCTGTTGTCGTCGTTGTTGCCATTTGCTTTGTCTTTGTTCTGGTTGTTGCCTGTTGATGTTGTGGTCATGGTTGCTGTTGTAGTCCTGGTAGCTTCTTGTTTCGTACTCGGTCCTGGATCCATTTTGCTTCTCAGGATGGCAGCGGGTGTACCCCACCAAGGGAACCAAGCAACTATTTTTCAACACAGGCCTGCCGTTCGCTGCCGTCGGATGTGGGCGGCTCCTGGACATGAGGATGCCTGCAAACCAGTTTTGGGAACCCACCAAAGAGTGATCATCAAGAGGAGACATGTTCGTGTGATGAGTTGTTCCTACCATGAAGCACTTACCAAGCAGACGGAGGACATTTGATACAAAAGTGCTTGTGAGGAGATGATTTGTGCAAACTCTGTGTGGCTGTGCAGGTGCCAACAAGGAGAGCAATTTCACTCTTCAGGAGTCTTGGACGATCCCAGGGAGGTGTTCAATCGAGTTGCGAATTGACTGTGCTGTCGGTGGGATGGGTTCAGTCTTTGTGTTTGACAGGCCCACCGACAAAGCGACATGACATGACGTATTATATGGCTCATAATTCCGGAACCGCCTACACACCCTAGAAGACGTGTATATAATATATACATTAATCATTTGATTGGTGTTTGCCTTCTTTTCAGCATGGAAGATTTTGTCCATTAAGAGCATGGCAGGACGTGGTGGCTGAACACATCAATGTTTGGGTGGAGGAGAATTCGACAGAGCTCCATCGCGATGTGGCACTCAAGGCAGGTGTGTCCGCAGGATGAGTGCTGGCAACAATCATTCGACCAGTGGACAGCGTACCAAGACCAATAACCATTAAACATTGTATGGTGGTGAAGATGAGTATTATGGGCTGTGCAACTCGTAGACTGCATAGACTCATCACAAAGCAACAGCAAAGACAAGACCACTTGCACCTCGTAGCACACCCAAGAAGCAGCACCTATCACCTATCATCACCTATCAACATGACACCCAAACCCCTCAACCCATAGGTGGCCTTTTGCCATCTTTTGCCGGGATACCCCCAAGTGTGCAACCAATAGGTCCATGATACCAAGTACCAAACCGACCCTTCTATTATTCCTACAGGTCGGACATCATTGCCTCAACCAATCCCCCTCCCCAACTCCCACGCAACTGACTGACACCCTGGGTGAAAATTCCGCCTCCCCAGGCAGCGGAGATTTATAGCAATGCCTTAGGGACAGAGGAGCTGAAGCCAACGCCTGACACACAAAGCTGGATGGAACAGGAGTGCAAGGCGGCTTCCCGCGTCTACGGGCGTGACGACGCGACGTGTAGCCAAGAAGGGCCGGGCTGATCCAGGACGAAAGGATCCAGGTTCTTTTTTGGAGATGTTCTGTTGCGCAGATGGGATCAAGTGAGTCTTGCAGTTTCTCTAGACCAACGTGGGCTTGTGGGCGTTGGGGACGTGACCGTGACCTCATTTCTTTGCCCGAACATCCAGCGACCGGGTGGGCAGAGATTCCGGATGGGCAACTCATGCAGCTGGCCGATCTTTTTGCTGCACCACTGAGTAGTGCAGGCCCTTCCTGTAGGGTGGCAAAGTCACAAAGCCAGCTGGGGGGGGGGTGACACATCGCTGGGGTGCCAGGTTTGTCGAATTTGGTTGGAGCATATGGATTCTTTCAGAGATTTGCAAAAAATGCCTCCAGTCTTTGATTCTCAGCGTCAGTCCGTGGTGGTGAAAACCATGGGTGGCTGGAGCTTGACAAAGGATATCAGCCAACATCCAGTGCGCATGTTTCATCATATGATAAAACCACTCCCCGAGAGGAAGAATTGTCCAGATCCTGTTCTTTCAACACAATCAGAAGATATCATGCAGTATAGATGTTTTGTTTGCACTCCTCTACGATGTCGCCTCGATGTGTTGAACCATTCACTGGGTGGGGGCCCCGGGGGCCTGGGCCCTCCCCGCCCTCCCTGTTTTAGCCGGTCAAGGCTTCCCGCCCACGTTCCCCTTAGCCAGGTGATGGGCCAGATGCCGTTCATGTATTCTTGCCGCTCGGCTTCGGTCGAACTTCCAGGTGCAGAGGAAACGATGTAGTATTATTGATTCATGAATTAGTTAGTTTATTAGTATCATCATTGATTATTGACTATATTAGCAATCATGGATGCGATGTGCTTGGATTTCATCCTACTTCCAAAACACCAAACATGCAAGTTTGACCGAGCCCGCCCGGAGTGTGTGAAGAATCTGGCAAGCAAACGGACATGCACAAGAATCTGCTAGCCATCACCTGCTAATTTGCCTACAAGAGCAGTGCTGCCTTGAATGATTGACACATAGTTTGGATCACAACAGTGCTTTATAGATAGTTTCATGTGGATTCCACAGAAACATTGTGTTCTTGGGTGCACTTTGGACCCTCTTTCACACAGCATCATGCAACCATGTGGCCTTGTATTTTCATAGGAAGACCGATTTGCAGGCTCGACTCCGCGTGCAGATCTTTGTACCAAAGGTTAAATGAGAGGTGGAAATCCAACCCATCGGGTGAGAGTTCTGGGAATGAGAAGCCAACTCAGGAGTTCAGTGGACAACCGCTTCTCTATACTACTGTAGTATAGACTATCCTACAGTCCTACAGCAACCACTGTAAACGAGGGGAAGGTACTGTGCAGTAGGATGTTTGGTACTGTGTAGGATGTCCGCAAGTGTGTGTTTCTTGCAAAAGCCCTTTTTGGGGATTGCTTTTCCCCACTATAGTTGTCCTATGTTGTCCTCAAACAGATAGAAACGTGTTCCAATACATGTTGAAAGGGGATATCCATCTATTTGGGGGTCTTATATATATATATATAAGATCAGATTGACAGTTGGGTTCACCACTCTTTTCCCAGACAACCCCCCGAAAATCCGAGCCCCGGCTTGAAAAACCGAGGTTCCAATCGGATCAATGTCTTGGTTCAGCCGGGCTCCCCGTGGTGGAACCATTCCACGTGGACGCGGATCGATGCGCAGAAGATCCCAACACACCGGTTCCACATCCTCAGATGTAGCTAGACCCGGCTAGACCCGTTGGTGCTTCTGCCCACCCCAATAATCCTTCGGAATGGCGGTACTTGGAGCCCGAGGGAAGAAACAGGAAAGGAGTGGACAGTGGACACCTCAAACATGGGTTTTTGGAAACGGTTTTGGTCCAGATGTCGTATAACCATCCTGGATAGAGTATGAACCAATCCAAAACAGGACCAGTTGTCTAGTGGTATTATTCTTAGTTATTGTTATTATCCATATTCTATCTACTCCGGGAGGAGTATAGATGCAAATCTCTTCAAGTGCATAGAGATCAATTGGGAGACTGCCAGGTATGGTGATTGGGAAATATTGGGAAAATCGAGGGCGTTTGTTTTCTTCAAGCGCAGGCATTTTAAAGGGTGTTGCTGATGTGTAGCTGGGTTTGGTGAACAGCAGCAACTAGGAACTACGATGTGATTTGGATGTTGTTTGGTGCAGGTTAGCCGCATGAGACATCGAGTGAAATATTATTCGATTGATTCCTGTCCATTCTCCTCTAGGTGGCATAAGAGTTTACATATGTTCTGGTTGCGAAATTTGTTGGCGTTCTTGCCTTGTTTCAACATGTTTCAACTGGATACTTTTCCTGTCTTGGTCCAGATCTTTCTCACCAGCGATACAGTACACAGACAAATTGTTTTAACAAGTTCAGCCCTTTCAACATGTGGAGCTGTGATTTCCGGAACATCGGTGCTGAGGAGCTGCGGCTTCGACAATGCCTTCGTGATGTCCAGCCGCTTGGGCAGTCAGTGGATTCCATCCATGGGATCCTCGTTTTGTTTGCCGCCAGTGGGTTTTCCAAGATGTTGGGACAAACCCTTGTAAGAGAATCAAGACTATACCAAAGGGTGAATGAGTGTACTTTGCAGAACACCTGACCAGTTGTGACAGGGGAGATTGGCAAATGGGATGATGACTCATTCAGCAGCACCGCTAACTAACGGCATTGCATTAATTTGTTGATCTCAAGCATGGATGTGCTTGGACATGGGTGATTGACACACTGAGTGAATCTCAGTTGCCAAAAGAGTACGTAGCAAGTAAGGGCTTCGCTTTACGTTTTTCCAGCCTTGAGAGCAATTGAAGAGCTGGCTACCTATTGTAGTGGCACGTGGACTCTTTGTGCTAGAATTAGGACCCTTCCTTGTATGCAAGATGTTGAAATGGGACCGAGAAGGCTTCTTCCATGCGCTTCCAAGGTGATTACTTGGTGAATTACCCCGCGCCAGTGCTTCGGATGAAAGTTGGGGTATTGCTTTCCTTGAAATGTTGGGAAGTTGCGCGTGCATTTGTGGATGTATACGTCAGTGAAACGACGAATTTGCTGTAGTTTTAGGGATGAGTAGCAGGTCGAACTAAGAGAAACTGGAAGTGCATAGTAGGTCGCAAACTTGTTTTATGGAATGGGAGGGATGGGAGCTGAGACATTCCAGCGGATTGGGTACTGCCTAGATGTTGAAGTCAGCACATGAAAGCCTAACCAGCCAACTTCTCCAAGGATGGCAGATAGAGCTCTTCTTAAGAGATGCAGCCGATGATGTTGACAGTCAATGATCCCGTTTCATGAGCTGCAAGCCTATCGACTTGAGAGCATCACGTTGACTCCTCTCCAACTGTTTTCCCTGACTAATCGATGTTTGAGAGCAAACATGATGTCTAAGCTAATGGATCAGACCCAGTTCTATGAATAAAATATGACAGGGGACCACATGAACCCGGAGCTCTATGAGGCGTCCAATCCAACACAATGTTTGACAGTACTGTTTCAGTCCCGAGGAATCCTCAGTTGTACCTGGACCCTCCAAACCTACATAACAGTGTCTCCAATCACCTTCTGAGAAGGTACTTGGGATGCCTAGGGAATCAAGGTATGTGTCCAGCATTTCAATTCACTGCGCGCGCAGCCCCCAGAACTCCTAGCTGAGCAAGCAGGAGCACAAATGCCAATAATGCAAGGCCACTCGGGCAGCATATCTCGCACCACGGGCTATTGAAAACGATCTCACCGCCATCAACATGTCCAGCCTGGAGCTATGATGAGGCTATGTTGATCCATCTTAGAGTTTCTTAAAGCAAATGCATCCATCCACGCTCTCCCTCCCCAGTGGCCCTGCGAGTTTCCAGCGCCGCGTATAGGACGTCCCCGCGGTGGGTTGGCAGCTCTTTGCACCACCCACCCCAAAGAGAAAGGGAAAAAGGAAGAGAAAGAGGAAGAGAAAGAGAAAGAGCTAGAGAAAAAAGATTAAAGAGAAAAAGGAAGATAAAGATAAAGGATAAATAGAGAGAGAGAGAGAGCGCGAAAGAGGCCCGGCCCCGTCTCGCTCATATGGGGGGGGTTGTTATCTCGGACCTTATGCCACTTGCACCGTACAAGGCCTGTACCTGACGCCTGCACCTGCCCTGCTTGCCTGCCCGGCCCGCTGTTGGGCGTAAGCCCTTAAGTCATTATTTAGGAATTGAGCCAAGAATCTGAGGGAAGTATATGTTTGCCAAAAGCTTGCAGCTGCAGCGGGAGAGACCCCATTCCGCCTGCAAACTTTGAGACCCGTCCACGAGGTGAACAACAAATCGAACAACAACAATGACATCATCTTCTACCTTTGCCAGGAGTTGGTGGATGGGCACCTCTGCCGAAGCAATGCGAGGGGGCGAAGTTAGAGATGGGACCTTCACCAAGCACCTGCAGTGCAGGAGTCCAATTGGTAACACATGACGTTTCCAATAGTCTATGATGGAAGGTTGACATGCATTGCTGTAAGCAACAGTTGGAATGATTACAGATTTTTATGTTCTGAATCTATCTGATATTACTTAATGGTTAATTATTGGAATTGGTTTCCAATATATGATGTTTCCATTCTCACTGACTACAGTGCTCGATCACACCTGGAGATTCTGAGAGAACATGTCACGGGATGACCTGGACATGATGGGACATGATGGAACATGATAGAACTATTTGGAACACCATTGGATCTTGGATCATCTTGGATCAACATCAATAGATTTACTCCCACCAACCCATTCATAGGTGATGAACATATTGACTGTTTTATTTTGATAAACATCGATGACATCATGAAGAACTCAGGAACGACTCTCATCTCGCTGCCAAGCGGTGTGAAACACAGACCTCCAAGGGATGCATTTCAGATGATCACCGCTCACGGCAACCCTCAAAAATGGAACTTCTGGTGCCTTCAATTCAGTCCTCTTCAAGACGAACGCGACCTTGTGCATTCAGGAATCCCAACCCCTATGCAGTGGCCAACACCTTCGCGCACGAGCTGGCGCACGTCATTCAAGGCGGCTGCTTGGTGCTGAACCAAGGCGGCTGCTGTGTGTGTTCCATGTCCAGGGTTTGGGGGAAAGTTGTTTGTGTAAGGGAAAACAGGTGCGTAGATGTGCGCAGTTACGTTGCATGATCTCAATATATGTTAGACTTGTACGTGTTTGGAAGTCATTGGATAGTTGTTCAAAAGCTACAAAGTACAGAAAGTTTCTTGTACAATGGCATGAAGTCCAAGGTCCAAGAAGATGACAGGTGCCAAAGTGGACAAGAACAATATATGATTTTCTAAAGGGCTCCCTTTTTTTTTCACCCTTCAACAATGTTTTTTTCACCCTCCCTTTTTTTCCCACCCTCGAAACCTTCTTTTTTCACCCTCAAAAATCATTTTTCCCCACCCTGTGGAACCTTTTTTTTCACCCTTCGAAAACCTGTTTTTTTCACCCTGCACCCTGCCATTTTCACCCTGTAGCATGTTTCT